CCTGCAAAAACAAGTTAGATGTCCTCTACTTTGTTGTTGCAAGTTTTACGTGGCTGCTACGGGCTGAGCAAGAACCGTTCTTACCTACGCATCAAAACCACAACGATAGTTCGTCAAGTTAGTGATGTTTTAACCTTCTCAAGGACCGGGCGTAGCCACACTCGATTCAACTAAAGTTGGAGAAACTGACACCCGCCGGCCACCTGTGTGCAAAGCACGTCGGTAGAACCAGTCTCGCGTAAGCGTACGCGTAATGTCGGTCCGGGCCGCTTCATCCAACAATACCGCCGAACCAAAGTGTGACATGCTGGTAAGCAGTATGACATGTATCGCCCACAACTCACTTGTGTTCTACTCGTGCATATAACATCTACGCATAAAACCAGGATCGGATGCCACTGTTAGGGAACATAGTAATTTCAAAAAAAATCCTATGCACACGCAGGATCATGGTGATGCATAGCAACGAGAGGGGAGAGTGTTGTCTACATACCCTCATAGACCAAAAGCGGAAGCGTTAGCACAACACGGATGATGTAGTCGTATGTCTTCATGATCCGACCGATCCAAGTACCGAACGTACGGCACCTCCGAGTTCAGCACACGTTCAGCTCGATGACGTCCCGCGAACTCTGGTCCAGCAGAGCTTCACGGGAGAGTTCTGTCAGCACGACGGCATGGTGAAGGTGATGATGTTGTTACCAACGCAGGGCTTCGCCTAAGCACCGCTATGATATAATCGAGGTGGAATATGGTGGAGGGGGCACCGCACACGGCTAAGAGATCAAGAGATCAATTGTTGTGTCTAGAGGTGCCCCCTTCCCGCATATATAAAGGACCAGGGGGGAGGAGGTGACCGGCCAGGGGAGGGCGCCCTAGAGAGGAGTCCTACTCCCACCGGGAGTAGGACTCCCTCTTTTCCTAGTTGGAGTAGGAGGGGACAGGAAGGGAAGGAGAGAGAGGAAGGAAAGGGGCCTCCCCCCTCCTTGTCCAATTCGGACTAGAGGGGGAGGGGGCACGCGGCCTGCCCTAGCCGCCCCTCCTCTTCTCCACTAAGGCCCATCTTGGCCCATTAAACTCCCCGGGGGGTTCCGGTAACTCCCCGGTACTCCGGTATATGTCCGAAACTCGCCGAAACTATTCCGGTGTCCGAACATAGTCGTCCAATATATCGATCTTTATGTCTCAACCATTTTGAAACTCCTCGTTATGTCCATGATCATATCCAGGACTCTGAACAACCTTCGGTACATCAAAACACAAAAACTCATAATACAATAGTCACCGAAACTTTAAGTGTGCGGACCCTACGGGTTCGAGAACTATGTAGACATGACCGAGACATGTCTCCAGTCAATAACCAATAGCGGAACCTGGATGCTCATATTGGCTCCTACATATTCTACGAAGATCTTTACCGGTCAAACCGCATAACAACATACGTTGTTCCCTTTGTCATCGGTATGTTACTTGCCCGAGATTCGATCGTCAGTATCTCAATACCTAGTTCAATCTCGTTACCGGCAAGTCTCTTTACTCGTTCTGTAATACATCATCCCGCAACTAACTCATTAGTTACAATGCTTGCAAGGCTTATAGTGATGTGCATTACCGAGTGGGCCCAAAGATACCTCTCCGACAATCGGAGTGACAAATCCTAATCTCGAAACACGCCAACCCAACAAGTACCTTCGGAGACACCTGTAGAGCACCTTTATAATCACCCAGTTACGGTGTTACATTTGTTAGCACACAAAGTGTTCCTTCGGTAAATGGGAGTTGCATCATCTCATAGTCATAGGAACATGTATAAGTCATGAAGAAAGCAAAAGCACCATACTAAAGGATCAAGTGCTAAGCTAACAGAATGGGTCAAGTCAATCACATCATTCTCCTAATGATGTGATCCCATTAATCAAATGACAACTCATGTCTATGTCTAGGAAACATAACCATCTTTGATTAACGAGCTAGTCAAGTAGAGGCATACTAGTGACACTCTGTTTGTCTATGTATTCACACATGTATCATGTTTCCGGTTAATACAATTCTAGCATGAATAATAAACATTTATCATGATATAAGAAAATAAATAATAACTTCATTATTGCCTCTAGGGCATATTTCCTTCAATACCTACTCCGACCACATGTCCATTAGCGAGTTGCTCGGTGTTAAACACAACGCCGGTTGGCTCCTCACGTCCGTACGCTATTTAAATGACGCAAGACGCCAGGCAAGAACCACACCATACCTCCGCTCCCCATTTCCTCCTTGAATAATTTTCTCCATGGCATAAAAGCCGGCTGGGTGGCTCGTCGAGCCCGTGCGGAGGCTGAAGCTCCAAGCTGGCGTGTGGTTCAGCTCACCAAGGAGTGACGAGTTGCTCCACGCCAGCACAAAGGGGAAGGGGACAGGCATTGTGGCTGCCGTCGATGATGTCGTGTCGTACCATGCAAGCCGACGTCAACACGCGTGTAACCGCGCCTTGCCGACAAAGAAAGATATTGGCCACACTAACATAGACGAGGCGGCGGCCACCACGTCCACGCCTGCTGCCTTCATCGAAGACAAGTAGAACACGGGAGGCCGCCGCCGCTTGGGTCCCATGAAGGTCACCATCGAGGCGATGCCGGCGTACACATCCGGTGTCTTTCCCTCTAGCAGGCCACCGTCATCCCCTACCCAAAAACCAACTCTGATCCGTGCAGCGTAGCGCACCCTTCCCCTCTGGCTGAAGCATCAGCCGACAGCTTCACTCCAATGAGTGGTGGGGAAGCGAGCCGCCCTTTGCGTTGAAGCATATACCTCTGGGGCTCACGGCTGCTGGACATGGGGACGACAATGGAGATCCGTTGCGGCCGACCATAGACTAGTCAAGCGTATCCGTATCGTCGGATGGATATCCGCGGGCGCCGGCCATAGACTAATTTTATCTTAGTCCAGTATCGTTTTTAGTTAAAAACTAGCAAAAGAGCCTGTGCGTTGCAACGGGAGAGAAAACATAACACACGCTCTTAACTCAACAATCATCACTCAAGACCACAATAAGTCCATCTCCTTTATTTTTGCGAGGCATCATATTTGTGTTGCCGATTATCCTCCTTCTCACCCTCGCCGGCGATGGCCTCGGTGTTCAAACAAAACAACAAAAATATGTGTTGAATATGGTTAATCCTAAGGCGTCTCTCTCTCCCTCTCTCCCCCCTCTCCCTCTCTGTCTCTCTCACTCGCTTTCTCTCACTCTCGCAATGAGAAATCTGTTGTTTTCCCTTGCGACATTTTTCAGAGGTATGCATGTGTAGTTATTGATATTTTCTTTTCCGTATATCGTGATAGTGGGATGTTTATTTGTAATCCGGATCGCCGCCGGTATGAAAAAAACGAATCTTGCGCTATAAATTATAAGTTTGCTTCCATAACAATATTTAAAAATATTTAACGGGTAAAATTAACATCATATTTAGATTCCACACATTTTTCTAATAAAATTTCATATATAATATGTTAAAATCGAAGTTATGGTTTAAAAGATACAGATAATTTAGAAAATCATTTGGTTTGACTCAAATATATTCCAAAATAATATTTAAAAATACTTAACAGGTAAAAATAATCTCATATTCATATTCTACATTTTTTTAATCAAATTTCATATATAACATGTTCAAATCGGAGTTACGGTTTAAAAGATATGGATGATTTTAAAAAGTATTTGTTTGACTTAAATATGATCCGCGGATGAATTATCTAAAACATCATGGGGGTTTTCAAAAAATGTAAAATAACGGTTCGGGTGTGATTTAAATCCGGACGGCGGGTTGATTTCAAGAAAAGACAGGGACTTTTGTAAAATACGAACATAACGGTTCGTTTTAACTTAAAACAGGACTCCAGGTTAAATTCTCTGAAATAGAGAGACTTTTCTGAAAAATGTCATGACGGACGAAAGAAACCCAATTTGCTTTATTATTAGGTAAAAATAAAGATATGTCTAAAATATAAACGTTTTGTTCGGTTAGTATGATATCTGTTGTGTTTGCATGAATTTCATTCGGTTTGTTAAAAGAGTGTTTGAAATCAGCGTCCACGAACTGATCCTCTGTCCGCGGATATATCCCGGAGCAAATTTGCAGGTCGCCGTAGCAGGAGGAGGCACACACGCGCTATATGACCCAGTGGTGTCGGGTGTTTCAACAGTGAACGAAATACTAAAGTCTGAATTCCCCTTTCTCCTTCTCTGTCCCTGTCTCTTCCTCTCCACACAACTTTTGAGTGTTTTACTTAACTGCGTCGTTCTATACCCGGGGTTCTCCTCTCCCAGGGATCCGGGAGACCGGGACCTCAAACTCAAATCAGCGTGAACCCATCTGGAATCGGAATCTACACCTGTCTGGCTGTGGTAAACGCACGGAATCTACCGCAAGTAGTGGCGCAGGATTCCACACAAATGGCAATTCTGTATCGTCCACAAGTGCTCCGTAGAAAGCTAGTCCGTTTTTGCCCTCTTGCTGTGAAAACTTGCCACTGAGAGCTACCAGCAAAAATCTGCATTTCCATGCATCACTTGCACTGTCGCGCTCGTGTTTACAAGGGAATTCACGACTCTGGAGCCATCCATGCAACGTGAGCAAAGCATGCAGACATTATCTCCCGTCAGACAAGAATTCTGATCGCAGTTCATTGGTCCCACACCTGGTCATTGACTCATGATCTTCATTGATTGATTTTCTTGTACTACTATACATGTAATAGCATCTCCCCAGACATTGGAGAATTGATCGTCGTCGTCAACAAGCACATCTATAGTGCCAAGTTCTGTGAATTCTGAAGCAACTAACTGCTACTACGCTCTGAAAACCACACCTTTGTTGTAAATGGTATGATCTCCATGACGGATTCCCAGTCCCATGGATTACTAGCCTATGTACAACCCCGCGGACGTGCGCATGCCGCTGTGGGCAACTCCATTGCTGCAAACGGATGGATTCACATTGGCATCAGTGATCATGGCACTTCATCTCCTCCATCACCAGCGTCTGGCGGCCGTTGTTGCGCACCAAGAAGCGCAGGGCCAGCTCGTAGGCCGAGAAGATGGCGCCGTTGACGACGAAAGCCCGCGCCACGGCCGTGCCGAGGCCGCGCCACAGCACCGGGAGCCCCTCCTCCCTCACGCTCTTCCGGAAGCAGTCGACGACGCCGCGGTACCTCGGCGAGGGCGGGTGCGTCTGCGTCTGCGCCTGCAGCCTCGACTTCACCACGTCCAGCGGGTAGCAGCAGACCCAGCTGGCGACGCCCGCGAGGCCGCCGGACACGAGCATGGTGGCGAGGCTCTCCTGCCCCGTGCTCCGGCAGCCCGGGTGCAGCCGCTCCCGCGCGTACTCGTACGTCCAGAAGTAGACGCCGTGCGACGGCGCGTCCCGGAGCGCGGTGACCGTGAGCCCGCGGTATATGCCGCGCAGGCCCTCCCTCCGCATGATGTCCCGGGCCATGTCCACCGGCCCCTGGCGCTTCCGCCCCGCCGCCTCCAGCTGCAGCCTGATCTTGACGAGCTCCACGGGGGACAGGATCAGCGTCTGCAGCGCTCCCGTGCCCACGCCGGCGAGTGCCACGCTTGTGTAGGAGGGGGGCTCGGAGGTGGACATCCGTCGATCCAGCGACCGCGAGAGGATCGCGTAGACTTGGAAGACCATTGCATTCTGCGACATAAAATTTTGAACTCAGTTTCTGACATGATTTCTAGTTTTCTACCGCAAATACAGCACAGGCACTGTTATGTGTTCAAGTGCAGGCTTGCAAATGTCATTGGCCAAATGGCCAATGTTAGGCAGCATCTTCCCGAAAAAAAAATTGTTATGCAGCATCGTACGTTGCGACGCAAGCCTAATCACGAGCAAACATGAAACGTGTTCATCGTCGTACGTTACAGCATTTATTGTCGACCACAACTTCACAGACCAGAAAGGCCGCCACGCCATGTGAACCACCGGAATGAGCGCGACGCAACGATACAAGTTCAAATGCGACAAGCAATGATCTTTTTTTTTTTTGTAAAGTGACGCCGTCCTACAATGGCTAACTCATTTACTTAGTCGTGTCATAGATTTTCGTGTCGTGTATCTGTTTGAACAAACTTTCTTCGCGAAAACGATACCTAAAGCAAACTTTATAATTGGAAAAAGGAAGACGTGGCCAAAGAACTCACGATCTCATGGACTCCACACGCCGGCCGGCCTAATTGCGTGAAACATTTTACGTTCCTAAAACTGTCTGGCTCACCTGGAAGGCGACGGAGGCGAGGGGCGCGGCCATGCCGCGGTAGAGCGCGGAGGGGCCCTCGGCGCGGAGGATGCCGCGCAGTAGCGCGACGGCGGAGGGCGGGCGCACCACCCGCGCGGCGGTGATCCCGGGGCTCACGGGCCGCGGCGGCTGCTGCAGGCGGATGCGGAGCGTGTCCAGTGGGTGGCCCGCCAGCACGCCGGCCATGCCGCCGACGCCCCCCGCCACGAACTCATGCCCGCCGCTGCTCGCCAAGAACTCGGGCCAGAACTCCATCGACACGGTCCGGCCAAACGACGACGACGACGACCATCCACGGACCAGACCACCGCCCCCCTCGGATCGCCGCTCTCTCGGGCGCCCTCGCGCGGGGTAATGGACCGGATCGTATATACCGGCAGGATCGGCCGGCCAAGAAAAGCACCCGGATCTCCCGCTTCCCTTTTGGTGCCGATTCCAAATGCGGAAAAGGACTCTCTATCCGCACGGACTCTTCGGAGAGCAGGGGAGGAACCGAGGAAAACGGACGGCCGGCCTGACGAGCGGCGCGTGCGGCGGTGGAGGAAGCGAACGCTTTCCGCGTGGGTGGATTGGTAGGGCACGGGCGGCAATGGCACGGCGGGAGGAGGAGGAGAAGAAGAAGAGCGAGAAGAGAAGTGAGGACACGTACTGGGAGAGGGATGGCGGGTGGCGGTATTTGTGGGCACGGGGAGTGAGCGCCATGGAAACGGACAAGCGCTCTGTTCCCGAGCGTCCGTCCCAACCTGAATACGTTGCTGCTCTGCTCTGCTATGCTTTGCCTAGTGTAGTGGAAGTGGGGCAAAAAACATAAATTTGACTTCAGGACGAAACTATTTCACAAACTAAACTATGTTTGAAAGTATTTCATCCAGCTGACCTCTAATGTGCAGCGCCCAACAGCAAAGCGTTACACTCTTATCGTGCAGCGCCTAACCCACATGCGCCATACTGTGCAACGCCTAGCTGTAAGGAGCTGCACTACACTGTGCAGCGCCTAACTGTAAGGAGTTGCACAGTAGAGTGCAGCGCCTTACTGTTGGGAGCTGCACAAAAAGTGATGTGAAATATTTTCAAAAATAATTTAGTTTGTGAAATACTTTCACTTCAAGGTCAAATTTGTCAATTCTGCCTGGAAGTGGAGTGGAGTATTTGCCGAGGCTTGCGTATGGGGCAGAACCGTCGTATTTGCCCCATGACGTGCCAGTGTAGCACGCCCATTTAGAATGTAGCCTGCTTTTTGTTTCATTCTACTCCCTTCGTTCCATGATTCGAACTAAAGCACAACAAAAAATTATGGAACGGAGGGAGTACTTCATGTTTGCATTTTGTTGATAGTATTGAACAACATTAAATAACAAAGAAGGGTCTTGGGTTAGTACTTGGTAACCCTCCGTTTCTTTTTTTATGCCGGGAGGCATAGTGATCCCTCTTCGTGAACCCTGTATCTGTGAAGGAGTCTAGACTACCAACGGCAGGAGGAGACTCGGTCTGGGTGCAACAGACGAGGATCTGAAGCATGCACTTTTACACTGTCCGCACGTTCACAGTTTCTGGGAGGAGGCCTGTGCGTGGTTTGGACTGCGGCTACCTAATCTACACTCTGAATCATGGGCACGTGATATTACATGCGCCCCATGGTTCTCTTCTGATGATCGTGCAAGGATCACAACTATTATGTGGTTCATTTGGCATTCCAGGAACTGTATCAAGCATGGAGAAGAAGGTAGGGATCCGGTGTCTACGATGCGGGCTACCAAGGAGGCCATTGCACTCCTTCATCTTCCACGCAAGGATGCGCAAATTCTTCCTGGATTTGGTTGGCGTCCGCCTGACGAGGGCTTTGTAAAAATCAACACTGATGGCGGGCTAAATCTTGAGCGAGACCGAGGAGGGGCTAGGGGTGTTGCTCGGTCATCATCGGCCCTGCTTGGTGCGTGGTGCAAGCCTTACTCCGGGATCACGGATCCCCTGATCATGGAGGGTCTCTCCTTACGTGATGGTGTTCGTTTTGCTACTCTCCAAGGTTTCTCCCATGTGAAAATGGAAGTAGACTGCTTGGAGTTGGTGACACTATGGAATTCTCGCCACAATTCTCGTTCTATTGTGGCCTACTTATTAGATGAGATAGGAGAGCTTAGTAACTACTTTGATTCTTTTCATATTTGCCATGTTAGTAGATCAGCTAATCTGCCTGCGCATCTTTGTGCGAAGCGTGCTTGTGCACTTGATGTAACAGATAGCTGGATAGATGAAACTCCAAGCTTCTTGGTGACAAGCCTTTTGGCTGACTCATCCATGAATGCTATTCGATGAATAAAGCTCTCCAATTAGTCTGCAAAAAAAAAAGACTCGGTCTGGGGCAACTGATTTCATTGATAGAAATCGTTGCTATATATAGCCTACAAACAGCTCATGCCTTGCACAATAAGAATAGCAAGATCAGGCCGAGATCAGTTAGAGATATTAACAATATCTAAACATAACTAGGCTATTTGTTAACACCCCGCCGCAGTCGATACGTTGGCGCTAGGAAAAACGCATAGACTGGATCGGAATGACTGAAACGACGCCGTAGGTAGTCCTTTGGTCATGATATCAACCAGCTGCTGAGTAGTAGGCACATGGACGACCCGAAGGTCGCCGAGAGCCACCTTCTCGCGCACGAAGTGAATGTCTAACTCAATGTGCTTCGTTCGTCGATGATGAACTGGATTGGTAGACATGTACACCGCTGAGCTATGGTCACAAAAGACCACCGTGGCCTTGGAGGAAGGGGAACCGAGCTTGTCGAGCAGTTGCCGCAGCCATACACAATCAGCAACGGCATTGGCAACGACACAATACTCAGCCTCTGCGCTCGAGCGCGAGACAGTGGGTTGACACTTGGAAGACCAGCTCACGAGAGCACCACCGAGGTAGACACAGTAGCCGGAGGTAGAGCGCCGGGTGTCCGGGAAGTCTGCCCAGTCCGCATCCGAGTAGGCAACGATGTCGAGTGGAGAGGAGCTGTGGAGCAGGAGACCGGAGCTCGTGGTGCCCCGGACGTATCGAAGAATTCGTTTGATGATGGCGAGATGACTGTCATGCGGATCGTGCATGTGTAAGCAGACTTGTTGCACGGCATATGCAAGATCAGGACGCGTCATGGTCAAGTAATGAAGAGCACCGGCGAGGCTGCGGTACTCGGAGGGATCGGCAACCGGGGCACCAGCATCGGCGGCGACCTTGGGAAGGGTGTCGACAGGCGTGGTGGCTGTTTTGCACTGCAACATGCCAGCGCGCTGTAGGATCTCCTCGGCGTACTGCTCCTGGCCGAGGAAGAAGCCACGAGGCGTACGGTGCACACGGACCCCGAGGAAGTAGTGCAAGGGCCCCAAGTCCTTCATCGCGAACTCAACCATGAGCTTGTCAATGAGAGCGCGGAGCAATGTCGAGGAGGAGGCTGTCAAGACGATGTCCTCAACGTACAGCAGGAGGTACGCCACGTCGGCGCCTCGCCGTAATATGAACAACGAAGCGTCAGAGCGAGAGGCGATGAAGCCAATGCTGACGATGAAGATGGCGAAGTGCTTGAACCACACCCGCGGCGCTTGCTTCAAGCCATAGAGGGACTTGACGAGCTTGCAAATGTGATCGTTGCGATGAGCATCGACGAAACCGGCCGGCTGGTAGCAGTAGACCTGCTTGCGCGAGGATGTCGTTGAGGAAGGCATTCTTCACGTCCAACTGGTGCACAGGCCAGTTATGTGATGATGTGAAGGTGAGCACGGTGCGAATCGTTGCCGGTTTGTCGACCGACGAGAATGTTTCGCCGTAGTCAACACCAGGACATTGGGCAAAGCCACGAATGATCCAGCGAGCCTTGTACCGCTCGAGGGAGCTGTCCTCACGTGTCTTGTGTCGGCAGACCCATTTGCCGATGACGACGTTGGTGTTGGGAGGCCGAGGGACCAACGTCCAGGTGGTGTTCGACGAGAGGGCGTCGAATTCCTCCTGCATCGCCTGGCACCAGTTGGAGTCGTGGAGAGCCTCCCGGAC